GATTTCTTGAGTCTGTGCACAAAGAGGACTTACCAAAGTTCAGCTTCAGATATAGAGGTGATGCACAACAATGATTCGGTCTGTCTGTCTGTCTATCTAATTACTATGGAAAAACAAGTCTTACAGCTTGACTGTTGCGTACAGATCTATATTTTTAACAATGTATTTACTATCCAATGACTTCAGGTAGAAATCACCTTTTTGCTCACCATAACTCTATTGCTTTGTATCTATCTAATATACTGGCAAATCGGGCCCTGTCATTAAAAGCCGTAAAATACACAGTATTATTGATTTTATGGCATGTAGCGGGGCACAAGTCGCTCCAGTTATACCTCACTCCCCAATCTAATTGCTCTGAATTACTGTGATTTCTCATTTGTACACTGTAACAGCAAAGGGAATAACTGCAACGCACATAAAACAGAATGTAAATGAATGTGTAATACAAAGCTATTGGCAGGAGTTACTGTAAGTGCAATTCTGGTTACCTTGTAAATATCAATCTGCTTACATGTTATGCCCTGAAGGAAATCGCGTACTAATGACTAGACAAGAGCCAAGAGTTTATTGCCGATCCTGCTATCCAATTGTATTAAACAGCTTCGACTGGCGATTAAAAACACAGAATAACTCATGTCACTCTGAGCAGATGAGACGTCATAAAAGCCAACTGGAATTTAATAGCACTCACAACAAACTGCTTAATTTATTCCTCAAAATGTAACGTTAAAAGTGAATTTAAAAGCGCAATGACAATACTCCAGTTAGTACGATTATCACATTATAAATATTGGTGGTGCAAAAATTAAGAGCTTTTATCATGAATGTATAAAGGTGTGGAGTCGTACAGCTGATAAATGATAATTCCTCTGGTCTCCAGATGCCGGGAGTAAATCTCCTGTTTAACTAACTTACCATTTACTTATTTAAATCATCAGATTTGTAGAAGGGACTGCGGGGAGTGGGTGTGTCCCACATAACCCATATTAGCCAATATTATATGTTAACCCAATATTACATGTTAGCCAATATTATATGTTAACCCAATATTACATGTTAGCCAATGTTACATGTTAGCCAATAGTACATGTTAAGCCATTTTGCCCTTTGCTATCATTAAACATTAAGTAGCTCGTGGAGAAGGACGTGGATATTGCGCGTATTACTGAAATAAGTGTTTACCCATTGGCCCCACCTTCATCGTCAGTGTTATATGATCTCACTCTTGTAACTTTGTCTACTTTAATTTGCTATTTAACCCCTTCACTACTCAAATCATGTATTTACATGTTTTGGGTAACTTGTATTGGAAGTCAATGCAAAACAAAATTTAGCCCCCTCTTTTCTTCCTATATTCTCCAGGCTTTACTTTTACCATTTAGAGAAAAAAACATTCTTTGCTAGGGCCTAATTGTGCCCCCTAAATTGCCGACCAGCCCCGTACATTGTATCAGAAAATAACAGCATTGTATTGCTGCTTTCAAATAGTAGCGGTGGAGAGAGACGGGGATTCTAATGTAACTTACAAGTTGCTATAGCACTTTGCAAATCCTTGTATTTTACAATTAAAGGATTTAACCATTTTTACTCGCTGTAAGTTTTGCTATTTATAAAATTGTCAGAATCCATACAAAGTAAGCTTGTATTCAATCATATTTATATACCATTTTTATTGATCCAGTGGTGTTATGTCTA